TCTATCTATCTATACACACACACACACACACACACACATATATATATATATATACACACACACACACATACGTATGTATGTATGTATGTAATATATATGTATGTATATATATATATGAAGTATTATAATGAAGTTATTTATTACAATATTAAAAACAAAAGAAGGAAATGAAATAAAATGAAAAACACAAGGGAAATGTAAAATAATGACATAGCAAATAAAATAAAATGTTGGGGGGGGGACGCAGGGAGAAATCCAAGCCGAGCGTCCTGACTGGGAGGGGGGGATCCTCCCCTCAAGGATCCAAGCCAGATCCCGAGCCAGCGATCCACTGGATCCCCCCAGGCGGTCCCGCTCTGCTCACTCGAAACACGCCTGCCGCTCTCCTCGCCAGGCTCCGCAGCCGGGCCTTCCCGGGGCGGCGATGGCAGCGGTCGCAGGGCAAGTACGAAGCGGAGCAACTCGGGCGCGCTGACCGACTCCCGCGCCTCGAACTCGCCGCCCAGGCAGTCGCCCAGCAGAGCCCCGAGAAGGCATCCCCGGCACCGGCTCCGCGTCAGCGGAGCCACCTTCGCCGCCATCTTGCGCAAGGGGGCGGGGCTTCTTCCCGACCCCGCCTCCTTCCTTCCTCCTCTTCCGCCCCCCGAGGGCGCCAGGTGAGCCGCGCGGTCCCACGAAGCCCCGCCCCTTCTCCGAAACCTCATTTACCTGCCCGGCCCGGCCAGCCTCCAGGTGTACCAGTTGCCAGATGGGAATAAGGGAAAGCGGGAGTCAGATAACAGATACCAGATAATCAGAGTTGGAAGGGACCTTGTAGGTCATGTAGTCCATATTGGTGAGGGTTGCAGTGTCCCCAGGTCACGTGTGAACGCCTTTTGCAACCGTCGGTTAATCCAAGTCAATGGGGGAGCCAGATTGACTTAAACAACCTGGTTATTAATAACTGCAATGATTCACTTAACAACTGTGGCTAGAAAAGTTGTGAAATGGGACAAAACTCACTTGGCAACATAATTTTTGAGCTCAGTTATGGTCGTAAGTCAAGGCCTACCTGTACTTTTCAGCGTTTTGAGCTTTATGTGATCTTTCTGGATTATTTGCACAACAAGATCCAATCTGGGTTGATCCCTGGGACGGGAGGTTTAGTATTCTGTTTGCATAACTGTCAAACTCCAATGTATTCTTACCTTATAAATTGTTTCCTTCCTCCTTACTTTCCCTTGGCAGATTTACATGAATTAATTTATTTCCTGATTCCAGCCAGACACTTCAACCCAGATCTCTGTGATCATGTGCCCTGGAGCTTTCTTGCAAACTCATCATAAAATTTGGAGACTGAAGTACTTCAGTATCCTGCTTAAGTAGACAAAATTAACCTCATCTTTAGAAGGGAGAGAAAACTCTTAAATGGCGTGGAAATCCAGGAGTTCCCTCCTACAGATTTTTCTCCACCACCTGGCACTGATGAAAGGTCTAGCCGTGCACAAGTTGAAGCAAGCTTGTCAAAAACCTCAAGTAGCATCAAAAACCACTCGTGAATCTTAATGGCTTGACAACACCAAGGGCAGCTTTTTTAATTAGTTATCCCACTTTTTTCTTGCAATATACCAAACCTGTGAGGGCAAAATACACAACTCTGGGAAGGGTCAAGGAGAAGATCACTTGAGTCATTCTAACCCAACGTAGACCGTGGCCTGGCTTGGCTAGAAGTCAATCCTGAAAAGGTCTACAATGTTCTCAGGTATCCTAGGCCAGCTCCAGTTGCCGGCTCTTGAGGGGTGAGAGAGTACGGTTGGTTGTGCGGTTGAAAGTGTCCACCTCTGGCACAAATTTCTCGGCCGGAACCGTCAGCTTACGCCTGCCATCCATGCATTTGTTATCCAGCACCAGAGAGTTCATCTTGTAAGAAATATCTGCCTGGATGCGGTACAGGTGCTTATAGAGGGCATCCAGAGCGTCCCTGCAAAAATAAAGAGAAGATGGTTGCCGCTTCATTCCAAAATTGCAAATCTTCCCACTTCAATCTTATTCTAACATTTATTGCCAAGGGATGGAAACAGGGAACATCTGAAACTAGTAAAGGGAGTGAACAACACAATTTCCCAACTGATATTGAAAGATCATCCCTTTCTACCACCACCAAAAAGCACTTCCCCTTAAAGAGAAAAGTATGATGGGACCAGATTTTTTTTTTCACAATCTCATTTCCCAGCTGATAACCATTTTACTAATACAGTTCCATGAAGCCAACATGATGTCTGTGAACACACTGCTAGCTATTGTTTACCATGAATCTAGAGATATTAGGACCAGCTTTTATACATCTCTCAAAATAGGTTAGACGAGGGGTTGCCAACCTTTTGGACCTCAGGGATCACCAAACTCATAATTTTAAATCCCGGGGATCACTAACCTGTTCTGTGGGCGTGGCCTAATTTGTGGATGTGGCTTGGTGGTCATGTGACTGGGTGGGCATGGCTTGTATGTAAATATTATAAATATTTATATATTGAATTTTTTTATATAAAAAAGCAACTTTTACCCAAAAGCAGGCAACGTAGGCAGGCAGATTGAGTTGCTCACAGAATCACAGATTCACTCAAGAGATCTGTGTTTCTGCCATCGCCTACCTGAGTCTGTCACATAAAATTTGCTTGCAAGCAAACTCATAAAATTAACTCACATCACACCATGTATGTAAATACTGAATTTTTTATTTAAAAAAAGAGCAACATTTTACCCAAAATCAAGCAAAGCAGGCAGGCAAATTGAGTTGCTCACAGATTCACTTAGAGATCTGTGTTTCTGCCATTGGCTAGCTCAGTCTGCACTGCTTCAGTCCTAAGGAAGGTTTGGCTCAGCTAAAGATTAGCTAGGAAGCAAGAAATCCCAATGATTTCCTGCTTTCTAGCTAATCTAACTCCTGGCACAGCAGAACAGCTGATAGTCAGGGGGGAAAAAGGAAAAATAGCAACTTAGCAGTCAAGTTTGCCAGGTAAGGAGTGAGTGGGCCATGTGGGCAGCGCAGCCTTGTGCTCCTACACAGCCTGGATTAATTGCTTCAGGGGGTGCTCTGGGGATGACATTTCTCTGCAGACCACCAAAATTTTCTTGCAGACCACCAGTGGGCCGCAGCCCACCGGTTGGTGACTGCTGCGTTAGACCAAATGAAATTATTTATGTGTTCATTTGTTTGAGGCATGGTGACTCAGTGGCTTTATGACACTGGGGATGGTTTCTGGTTTGGTGGTTTGAGTCCTAGGACTGTGTGGCAGGGTTAGCTCCCATAACTCTCCCTGGTTACTGTCCATCTAATAGTTCGAAAACATGTTCTATGCAAGTAGATAAATATGTACCACTTTATTGGTAAGGAGACAAGCTAGTGTTCTGTGCAGGCAGGCAGTTTCCTTGGAAACATGCAAGCGTGTCCTGTACCTTGGCAAGCCAAACTACGGCTCGGCAATAGCATTGTGGTCTTGTGGTTATTGTAATAATGCCATATGCCTGCTTACTTGCTTGCTTGCTTATTTATTTGTTTGTTTCTTTATTTAACTTTTATGTCACCCGACTCACCTAAAGGAACCTCTAGGTGGCCTACAACCATAAAAACACGATATTTATTGATTCGATTTGCAACCAGATGTAATTATTTCGCAGGTAATTATTGCAGAGGTGGGCAACTGGCAGCCGCAGAGTCACAGACAGCCCACACCTATTCTTTTTTGCAGCCTTAGGCATTTCCTCTGAACTCACAACTTCCTACCATGCTGAGAAGAAATGCACAAAAACTGCACTAAGATCCTTAACTGTATCACAGTTGAAAAATAAAGTAGAAATAAAATCCAAATCCCCCAATCTCACTGACTTATTTTACATAATCTAGTCTGCTTTGAGGCCCTCAGCCTCCTCCCTCCCTTTTGTTGAGCTTTGGCCATGTTGTGGCTAAAACCTGAATCATCTAAAGCCACTAAATCACTTTGAAGACACAACATAAATTTATTAAGCATGCAAATAATTACAGTACAGATCAAGCTCCCAGAAAAGCATTGGCAGCTTGCTGAACAGTCCTGAGGAAAAACAGAACGACAGCTTACATACTTTTTATCCTACTACATTACAAAAACAAGACAAAGTCAGATGTGATATAAATTGTAGCATGATATAAGCCAAATCCCAAAATCACAGTCCTCTCCTATTTTGGAAACTAAAGCCAAAGTAATATTTAATTGGCTTTGAATTGATACCATTATAGATCTGTCATGACTTCATTTCAGCTGATGTTTTAATCACACTCCCAGATCACTACCCTTACACAACCTTCGTACTATGGTCCTAAAATTCCTATGTGTTTGCAGCTACATAAACAATAGGGGTTCTCTGTGTTTTTAAAGTATGTTGCATGCAAAACTGTTAAAATTCATCAAATTAATTATACTTACCATTTGCACTTGTGGATAAGCCCATGCATGGATAACCTGAGCCTTGAATTTAACCAAAACACCACCATATAATACAATCCTCAACATTTTCATGTTTTAATTTTCACCATTGGCTTATCTGCAGGTGGTGCAATTTTCACGGTATTTTGGTTAAAAATTCGAAGGTTGGCTTATGCGCAAATGGGTGTATACACGAATATACACAGGATTTATTTATTTATTTGATTCCTTTGAGTCAGCTTTTTATTCCTCATGACTGCATAGACAGGTCCTTGCAATTATTTTGGCAAGATTTCAGAAGTGGCTTGCCATTAACTTCTTCTTTGGGACGAGAATGAGTGACTAACCCAAAGTCACCAAGCTGGCTTTGTGCCTAAGGTGCAACAAGAACTAACTTCAACTTACTGTGATTGCGCCATTTTTTGCTTTAATGCAGCTATTGTCCCTTCTAGTTGATGAACTTCATCTGTTAATCCATGTTGAGCCTAGAGTTAAGGAGACAGAAAGCAAGCAATTCAGGATTCAGAAATAGCAAAGGCCAGACTGATCAGAGAAGTATAACTCTTTCCATATTACCACCTCCTGCTATAAAAAAATTGCGTTCTGCAAGTAGTCTTTGCCCTAAATTGCAGTCATAAGTTAAGGTGGCCACATGACTGGAAGTAATTTTACAGCCTTTTTTTGTGGCAGTCATTAAGTGAATCCATTTATCTGAATGGATGTTTTTTTCTCCACAAAATGGCAAAAATGCCAGAAGGCGGAAGAAAACATCACAAAACATAATTATGTGACCACAGAACACTGACCAGTCAGAAAGCTAACCCACCTGACATGTCACATGACCATGGGGTGGGGCAGCATGAACACTTACAATGGCCAGGGGTGCTCCATGGGCCATAAAGTACCTGTTCCTTGGCCATTGTAACTTCAAACACTTATTAAACAACCAATTATTAAGTGAAGATTACTTGTACAGAGAATAGCCACGCTCAATCTTCTTGCATCTAAAGTAAGTGGACGCTAAGATTCATCCACATTAGAATCCTCTACAAAAGCCCTTGTGAAGCCCTTGGTGCTCTCTGAGCTGGATTGTTTTATTGCAGACATTTCATTACCAAACTAGGTAACATCATCAGTGCACACCAAGAAAACAACCCAGCTCAGAAAGCACTAAGGACCCCGCAATTCAAACCTGAGCTACAAACAGTCTCTTCTATCGGTATCTACATCTCTTTCATGGAAGTGTTATATTTTCTCTCCACTTTCATGCAGAATCAGAGACCCAGTGCAATTGTTAGTTCTGATCCCCACTTTTGCACTTCTACTCTTAAAAGCATTCTGTACCTGGTCACGGCAAAGCTCCATGTTGGGACGGTAAGTCCGAGTCTCCAAGCGAGTGTGAGCCAATTTCAGATTGGCCATTTTCTTCCGGAGATCTTCCTCCAGACGTCGAATGTCCTCCTCCATCTCAGCAATTTCTTCCAGTGTCTGCAAGAGACAAAACCATGGTTTGTTTTCAGAAACACCCTACGAAAAGAGTGTAGAAAACATGGGTGACCAATTCCCTGGTATTTTTTTCTTGGTGATTCAAAAATGCTGCCAACTCCACGTAAAAGGCAGGTATAGGAATGGGGTTACAGCTCATGTTAGGGTGAATTTTGCATGCGGCAGAAGCTCCTGTGGTAGAACCAAGAAAGATCTAGTGCTATGTATATAACGTACGACCCCTGGAGCTCTGCCAATGGCAGTCTTCCTCAATATGAGTAGGCAGACACTTCAAGTCCCAGAATTCTCAACAGGTGGCTGGGGAATTCTGGGAGTTGAAGATTCTTGGTCTCCTGGTCATGGTTGTCCCAAAGGTACCTTTTCAAGAGGCACCTGGACTTTCTGATTTTTCTTTGAAGATGTTTCGCTTCTCATCCAAGAAGCTTCAGTTGCCCCTTGAAAAGGCACTTTTGGGACATTCTGGAGGACAACTTTTTTTTAAGAAGGAAGTGTGGTTTCTGATGTTCTCTCATTAACAGCAGAGAGTGCAAGCATAAACTCCACTGCTCAAAGTTACTTTGTGAAGGAACTGGGGAAATTCGTTACATTATTTTTTTTGTAGTTGGAGATGACTGATAGGGTGGGAAAGTTACGATGATGTTGGCAGGAGAGCAACTGAACAAGGAGCGAAAAGTCCATAAGAATTAATGTAACTTTTCTCAGCCACTTTTGAGTTCTTGTTCAGAATTTGATTATTTCATTCATTTGATGATTTTTTATTTATTCATAATCATACTGAGATCTCTGCTTACCAAAGAGTTTACTGATATAGCCCTTTTTCTGTATTTGCACAATATATTGAATCTTAAGTAGCACGAGTCCTCATAACTTTTTAATCCCTGTCTGGAACTTTGAAACTTCTTGTCCTAGAAGTTGTCACACTTAGACTTATAACATTTATTGTCACTTTAAATACACACTAATTAGGTATGCATTAAAATGAAATTTCATTGCATATAGCTCTCAAAGGGTCACCACCTCCAATATACACTACATAAATATGACAAAATAAATACCTACAAAATGATGTATATATGGTGAAAATTAATCAAGGGCAGAAGCAACCTAGAACTAAGGAGAAATTTCTTGACGGTTAGAACAATCAGTGGAACAACTTGCTTCCAAAGGTTGTGGTGCTTGGGAAGTTTTTAAGAAGAGATTAGATAACCATTTGTTGGAAATGGTATAGGGCCGTGATGGCAAATCTATGGCACACATACCAGAAGTGGCACACAGAGCCATCTCTCTGGTCACGCTAACTGTCACCCGTTGCTCTTCCAAGTTACAGCACACATGCCAGCTGGTCTTTGCACATGCAGAAGAACCGGAAACCGGAAGATCAGCTTCCCAATGCACACATGCACGCCAGGGAGCTGCTCTTCTGGTTTCTGGCGCTGCCCCCTCCCCCCCACGCATGCTCCCATTTCGGCACTGGGTGCCAAAAAGTTTCACCAACGCCGGTATAGGGTTTCCTGCCTAGGCAGGGGGTTGGACTAGAAGACCTCCAAGGTCTTCCTTCCGGCTCTGTTTATTCTATTCTGTTCTATTCTACTCTGTTCTATCCACATACATTATATGACACATATAATAGGGGAAAGGAATGGGCCAATCAGGAAGAATCTGCTCCCTTCCTGTTGAAAAGAAGGACTGGAAGTGTATCAGCTTCCCAAACTCAACATCCCTCTTTCCTGTATCATTCTGTCGAGAAGGAAGAGGAAGTGTTACAGGAAATTCTGAGAATTAGCAATATTTTGTTTAGTCCCCTGGACATCTCTCCGAAGTTAATCCATGTTACCAGCCTGGGAGAACCTCAGCTTGACCCAAATTCATTCTATACATGCAAACTCTGAAGGATCTCTTTACAAATTTGATGAGCCTCCTGCCCAAGCTGAAGACTAACATTCTTTTCTTGCCATCTCAGCTCATCAAGAGCTTTTTCCAGGTCATGGATCCTCTTCCGGAAAGCAAATTCGGTAGCCACACGTTGAGCTTCTAACTCATTGTCGGTCTAGAAAGAAAACACTCAGGTCAACAGAGAAACTGTAATTAAAGAAGTGTGAGAGATTCTTCTCCTTATAGGCTGAACAGCCATTTTGCTTGTCCTCAGCGGTCTCATCTGGTATGGTCAGAAAGTCAAGATGGAAGTCGCAGTGATGCAATGGGTAGCTCTTGCTTTGCACCATTAGAGCTGGTGAGGTTTTTTTTTTCCTACCACATCCACATTTAATTTCAATGTTTCAAGGGTATAGCAGTTCTGTGAAATGAATTTGGCTGAGAACGAGAACTGGCTGAAATAATTCAATGTATTGAAATTTCAACCTGGGCTATCACATTTAAATTAAGCATTATATATGTCCTAAATGCACATATCACTATACCTACCACTGTTCTTTTTAAAGCATTGACTGCCAGAATGATGCTACATGCATTTAAACATAGGGGAGAATTCAGAAAGAAATACACACACACACACACACACAATGTAATTTGTCCTTTTCTGGATTCTTTCTCAAGCGATAGATAGAACTAGTATACAAATGATAATATTTATATATATATATTATTTATTTACTTTAGATCCTGTGTTCCCCCACAACAACAACCCTGTGAGGTAGGCTGGGCTGAGAAAGAGTGACTGGCCCAAAGTCTTTCAGTTTCAATTATTATTCAGTTATTATCAAAATCACACATCAAGAACGGATCAAAAACATAATCCTTCTTATTCTCAAATAGTATACTATAATGCATCTCTGTAGCACGTTGTCTGAAATTTTCAGACAGGTTTCTATAACGTCTCTCTCAAATTCTCTTATTCTGGTTCTTCTAAAGGTGAATCCCAAATATATAATTTAATGCTGTACAATCCCACAGCTCAGTATATCATTCTATTATCATAGGTTGGTGTTTTAATATTTCATCTTTAACTGACAATGCTGCTTATGAAATGAAGAAAAAGACTCTCTCTACAGCCTAAACTTTAGACATTGCTCCTATTACAGATAGATGATATAGCTTCTATATTATTTGAATGCCAACTGGATTGGAGAGAGAGAGAGAGAGAGAGAGGGAAGGAGGGAGGGAGGGAGAGAGAGAGGGGGGGTGGAAGAGAGATTGGATTGCAGATTAGACTGGTGTTTCTGAAGCTTGGCAATTTTAAGATGCATAGACTTCAACTCATGCTGGCTGGGAGATTTTGGGAGTTGAAGTCCACACATATTAAAGTAGTCAAGCTTGATAAATAGAATAGAATTCTTTTATTGGCCAAGTGTGATTGGACACACAAGGAATTTGTCTTTGGTGCATATGCTCTCAGTGTACATAAGAAAAAATAAAATACATTCATCAAGAATCATGAGATGCAACACTTAGTGATAATCATAAGTTACTAATAAGCAAATCATACTAGGAAACAAATAAAATAATATAAATTGTACAGATACAAGCAACACGGTTATGGTCATAAGTGGGAAGAAATAGGTAATAGGAAGGATGAGAAGAATAATGGTAATAAAGTCTCACTAAGTAATTTGACAGTGTTGTGGGAGTTAGTTGTTTAGCAGAATCATCGCATTCGAGAAAAAACTCTCCTTGTGTCTAGTTGTTCTGGTGTGCGGTGCCTTATAGTGTTGTTTTGAGGGTAGAAGTTGAAACAATTTATGTCCAGGATATGAGGGGTCTGTAGATACTTACTGCAGACCTCTCACATCCTGTATGTGTCCCTCTAAATACTGTATTAACTGAAAAAAATTGGGGATCCATATATTAAAACAACATATAGGTAATCCTCAGCTTACAACCATTCATAGATGGACCATTCCAAGCTACAACAGCACTGAAAAAAGTGACTTGCAACTGTTCCTCATGTTTATAGGCATAGCACCCCCCTGGTCGTGTGAACAAAACTTGGGCACTTCGTACCATGTATTTAAAATTGTCACCGCACTATTTGTGACCTTCCCAGCTGGTTTCAGGCAAGGAAAGTCAATGGGGGAAAATAGGTTCACTTAACAACCAAGTGATTCAATTAACAGCTGCAGAAATTCAATTAACAACTGGGGCCAAAAAAGGTTGTAAAATTGGGTGCAGCTCACTGCTCAAGTATCTTGCTTAACAATGGAAATTCTGGTCCCCAATTCTGGTCATAAGTTGAGGACTACCTGCATTTCATGTCTAATCAGAACCCAAATGTTATCTACAACGTGACCCTTTATCTGAACAAAACAGTACACCTGAGATCTGCAGGTATGGATCTGATCGGGTTAATTGCAGAGGTAGGACACTGACATATGATTTGTGTTTCCATTTACTTCTGCCTTTTACTCTATTTTGCTCAGGGGTGTCAAACTCGATTTCATTGAGGGCCACATCAGGGTTGTGTTTGATCTCGGGGGGGGGCATGGTGGGGGTGGTCAGCTCAACATCACTCATGTCGGGGGTACCTGTGGTAGCCCAAGCACTCAACCAACGAAATCGGGCTCCCAAGCTCCATTTTCGCTGGCAGAGTCACCATAGGCCGGTCCTTCACCCTTTTCCAGGGCAGCCCCATGGGCCGTATCTAAGCACCCCATGGGCCGGATCTGGCCTGCAGGCCTTGAGTTGGACACCCCTGCTATACATGGTCTTATGACGGTTCTGTCCATTGTATTCTGATGTGGCCTAATGGCTAATCAATGGGCTCTTATTATTATTTATGAAGGGGTTGAAACAATTAGCTTGCTGTTAAGTTAGCTAGAAGCAAAACTATTATTAACCTGCGCAATGGTGAGAGCAATGGCCTCTCTCAATTCTGTGGCGGCTTTCATTTCTGTCTCTGCCCGATCCTTGTTGTATTGACTGAATTGGTCCCACTGTTCTGGTGTGATTGTCCTACAAAAGCCAAACATGTTCTGTTGGTTTGGTTATTTAGTTCAAATTCCTGCCATTTTCAAGCAGACACCCTCTTTCCCTCACTCAGAATTCCCAAGATTCGACATACAGGTGAAATGAAAGTGTGCCCATGTCCAAAATCATCACAGCCATGTCACAATAGGACAACTCGCCATGGCCAACTCGCCTCAGGACCTCTCATCACAACCAACTTGCTATAGACAACTCCCCACAGGACAAGTCAACAAATACAAAAGATACATAGACTTAAACCCTAGTCACAGAACATGACTTTTACATTTTACATTTTACATTTTATTTGATTTGTCAATCGCTTACAAGATACAGGTAAAAGAATAAATATAATTTTGAATACATAAGATAGATACTTATAAGAAAAATAAAAAATAGGACAGGGACGGTAGGCACGATTGGTGTGCTTATGCACAGGCCTCTTAGGAAGGGGGTGAGGTCAATAGTAGACAGTCTAAGGTTAAAGTTTTTGGGGTTTGGGGAAGAAACCACAGAGTCAGGTAGAGTATTCCAAACATTGACCACTCTGTTGCTGAAGTCGTATTTTCTGCAGTCAAGTTTGGTGCAGATAACCTTGAGTTTGTATCTATTGTGTGCTCTTGTATTGTTATGATTGAAGCTGAAGTATTCATTTGCAGGTAGGACATTGCAATGTATCATTTTATATACTATATTTAGATCGGACCGGAGGCGGCATAGTTCTAAGTTTTCTAGGTCTAGAATTTCAAGTCTGGTGGCATAAGGTATTCTGCAATGAGTAGAGGAGCAGAGAACTCTTCTTGTGAAATATTTCTGGACTTTTTCAATTGTGTTAATATCAGATACATGATATGGGTTCCAGACTGATGAGCTGTATTCAAGTATAGGTCTAGCAAATGTTTTGTATGCTCTAGTTAGTAGTGTGATATTACCAGAGAAGAAGCTACATAGGATTAGATTAACAACTCTTAATGCCTTTTTGGCTATGTAGTTACAGTGGGCTCTAGCACTTAGATCATTTGAGGTGAGTACTCCAAGGTCCTTGACAGAGTTTGGATCCTCAGCAAGGTCTTGACTATTTAGCTTGTTTTTTATTTTCTGATTTATTCTGCCAATATGTAAGACAGAGCATTTATTTGTTGAGATTTGCAAGTTAGACTCACTAACTCTGTGTCAGCTTTTAAGTGCCATTCAAGTTATCAGTCATCTGTAAACACATCCTACATGGCACAGGATTCAGCTTACTTTTGGGACTGCCTCTTCTAATAGGGTGGACAGAGATGGGGTCCCCTCCTGGGGCCCAGATGGGGTGGCTTTTCAGTGACTTTGAGTAATATCTCTAGTGCTCAGCTGGCTCTGAATGAGCTGGCTTGGAGGAAAGTCTTAAAAACATAACTATTCCCTCATTGTTTGGATACAGATGAGTAAGTTCTCAGCAGACAGTGGGCAAGTGTGAGCTAGATCATATGTTATTGATTTGATTGTTGATTGTTGTTTTCATTTATGCCATTTTGGGTAAATTGCCTGAAGCGGCATTGTTTGAGTTGGGTGGCCACATATATCCCAATACATAAATATGTAAGTTGGGAAAGTATTGGCAATCTGTTGAACTGGAAATGGGGCAGACCTGGGTCCTGTTGCACTTTCCCATGCAAATCCTTTCAAAGTGGAATGACCCAGAACTTCCAGGTTGAAGGAATTTTTGCTCAATGCCATAAAAGTCTGAATGAAAATATCTAATCCATTATTAAGCACTATGTGAAAATCTCACTCATTTACAAACTACATTTATGGGTTTTAATCAATGAGTAATATGTTGCTGTGTGTGCTACCAGGGTGATTCACGGCTAGACATAAAATAGAGAATCATAAAAACACCCAAAGACGTGAAGAGAAGCTGCCTAAAATACATTGTAGAACAGTGGATGGATTTCCACCAGGTACTGCAAGTGTAGAAATCCCATTTGCCATTTGAATGGCACCAAAAGGAAGTCAGATTAATTCGCCTGAATGGTTCATTCATTCATTATTTGTCAGGCTTTCTATCTCTTCTTTCTAGATATTAAATCTTACCCAACTGGCAGCCGGGTGGGGTTGACTTTGTAGGAGATATTGGGAGAGTTGACACCGAGAGAAACGCAGGTCTGGTCGATCTCCAGGGCTTCCCTCTTCCCTCGGTGATCAAAATTTAACTGCTGCCGGGCCTCCTGCAAGAGGCTGAGAATGATAAACCAAGACTGCATTAGAGCAAAGACAATCTTTGTTTTCATGAGACCCAGTCCATGACCCTACCTTAAGATCCCCATAACTACATTCTGCTCGCCCTTCGGAAAATTTTTTGACTTACCAGAGCTGCTCAAAAGCCTCACTGACTTTCTGCTGAAGGTCTTTCTTGGTGGCATCAATCACTTCCACTTCCTTGTGCAGCTCTTCCTCCACGTGGTCCTTCACTACATCAATGGCTCGGCGACTCTCACGGTAAGTGAGATTTTCAATGGCCACATCCAACGGCAGGTTTTTAGCTTGGAGGGCATGTTCTGCTGCCTCCTTCATCTGAAAAGGGAGGTCACAACAGAGTAAGCAAAAGAAACAGCCCTCCAAGGATCAGCCAGAACAAAGGTGGAGAGAAGCAGTAGGAGGCAACAGACTCATTAAAGTTTCTGTGGGGATTATTTGCTGAGGCTCAGTTTACACTTTGTAGACAAATTCATCAATTAATCACAATGACACTCAAGATTAGGAGCAACATTCTAATGCAATGCATTGTGCAGTATAGCAATCTATGTTTCTAACACCACCAACCTTGTAATAATGGACTTTGTTTACTCGTCCACTTCATTATCTCTGAGAGTTTAACTAGATATACCTACAGAGGTATGTCTTATAAAACTTTTACAGGTAGTACTCAAGTTAGTTATAAGCACAATTGAGCCCAAAATTTCTGTCGCTGTGAGACATTTGTTAAGTAAATTTTGCTCCATTTTATAACCTTTCTTACCACAATTGTTAAGTGAATCACTGCATTTGTTAAGTTAGTAGCGTGGTTGTTAAGTGAATCTGGCTTTCCCATTGACGTTGCTTGTCCGAGGGTTGCAAAAGGAGATTGCATGATCCTGGGACACTGCAATAGTCATAAATATGAGACAGTTGCCAAGCATCTGAATTTTGATCATGTGACCATGGGTATGCTGCAACAGTTGCAAGTGTGAAAAATGGCCATATGTCTAGTTTTTCAGTGCCATTGTAAACTCAAATGGTCATTAAATGAACTGTCATAAGTCAAGGACTACCTGTATTGCTCCATCAAACTCAGGGAAGAGTGTTGTGATCCTCCAAATATTTTTGCTCCAGGATAAGAGGAAATGAAGGGGAGAGGGGAATAAAACTTAGACTTACTGCTCTCAAAACTCAAAACAAAACAATACTCAAGAATTTTGCATCATCTCATCCTTGCTACTGCCTCAGACTTTCCAGAAAATGTAGTGCTCGCTCCAATCCACAACCAATTTTTTCCTACCAGAAGTGTGCAAATGTGCTGGGCTTAGAGTAGCCAGTTCTGACAAAGCAATGGTTCACAGCAGTAGTTTTGAGCATGAAATCTTGAAATGAAAATTCATGAAAATTCATGAAAATTCAGAAGGAATACAGGATCTGGTTTGGTGTTTAGAATGAACTGCACAACATGGAAGGTTTTCTACTAATTTCCTGGAGAATGGGTTGGGGTGAGGAAGGCATGAGTCCATCACATACTTGAGTCAAGCTATTGATTTCTGTGTCCATGTCGGTGAGGCACTTATCCAGAGTTTCTTTCCATCGATTGACAATGTCAAGACGCTCATTAAGACGTGTGCGGTTGTCGTACTCATCCCATTTTGTCTGGGGAAGAGGAAAAAAACTCAAGTCACTGTTCAGATACGCTGTATTATTATTATCCTTCTAATCTTTTCTGCTGCATTCTCCTTTATCGGTATTTTATGATTATATTACTTCGTTGTTTGTGTGTGCACTGACAGCTTCTGCACCGAAAACAAATTCCTTGTGTGTCCAATCACACTTGGCCAATAAAGTATTTATTCTATTCTATTCTATTCTATTCTATTGCTATTGCTATTGCTATTGCTATTGCTATTGCTATTGCTATTGCTATTGCTATTGCTATTTCTATTTCTATTTCTATTTTTATTCCTATTCCTATTCCTATTTCTATTCTCAATTTATATATTGCTCAACTCACATATGAGCAACTTTGGGCAGCATATTCATTTCATGCAGGTCTTCACAAATGCCCTGGAACAATTACTGCATTATTTCTCAACCTCAGCAAGTTTAAGACATGTGGACTTCAACTCCCAGAATTCCCCAGTCAGTATTTGCCTACCTGGTTATTTGTTTCATTGCGAAGGATTCGGGCTTCTTGCCTAATTTGGTGAGAAGCAGAGCGTTGGCGCTCAGCATTGGTCGAGAGGAGGTCAGAACTGATATGCCAATCTGGTAGTGTGAACCTCTGGCCTGGCTTTACACTCAGAGTGGCCATGACGGCTTCCTGCTATAAAAAAAGAAAGAAAGAAAAGCATATTGATTACAGTCAAGCCATGGTTTGTAGCTAAGATGTGGTTTATTCAAACTTTGGTTTGTCGAATAAACCCATCTTTCAAATGAGCAAAGCAATCATTGTTTGTTGTCGTCCTGCTTCTTCTTCTGCTTCCTGGTTCTTTGACAGGCATTATTTAAAGGCATTATTAAATATTTCACATAAGGAAAATAATGAAACCTTGTTTTTACATGAAACTTGCCTTATTTAAGTACATATGTGATACTGTAACACGCCAATGTTCTTCAACGTGTCAACTTAATGGCAAGTAGTAAATTCAAGACAAAACTGTTGTTAATCATTGGGTCAAATTTGGCATGCTCAGTTGGAATAATGGAAGAAAAATCTGTTTATTTTCTATACTTTGCAGTTCAGTTCTCTTATCGAAAGATCAGCAGATTAGTAAAAGGAATGTCTAAACACGCATTAATTCAGGAATGCAGTATGAAAAACCAAAAGGAAAGTCTCTGTGAGTGTGTGCACGGGTGTGTGACTATGTGTGTATGGGGAAAAGCAGGCAAAAAGTTACTGACACTGGGGGGAAACATCACGCAAAATCAGGATGAAATGAATTTAAGGCAAAATCATAAACTAGGAAAAAGAAAAATTCTCTAAAAAGTATAAAGATATTTCAAATTTATGTTGGAAATATAACATAAATGGTCATTTTGTCATACCAGGTAGACTTCTAAAACAGCCAGAAAACTGAGTTCAAATACATAGAAAAATAACAAAGAATTTTCCACTTTCACCTGAAGCCAAACTTTATTTTTACTGGGATTACTGGACAATCAATTAAAAATGAGTCACAGATTACTATTTTTTTATATGATCCCTGCTGCAATTTTCTATATGAGTAAAAATGGAAAAACTCGGAGGTGTCCACAACAGAGGAATGCATGATGAAAGTGACAGAGATGGCAAAAATTACTTGCTTGGCTAGAGAAAGATCAGGAACCACATTTATTGACGACTGGAAACTTCTTACGGACTTTTTGCTGAAAAAAGAGAGGAAAATGGAACTTGTGATTTATGGGTCCGATGATTAGAAAGGGCAGCTTATGGAAAGAAGGAAATTATGAGGTAACCGTGGGGAGAGAAGATAAAATATAAATCTATTTATAACAGCTGTTAAGAAGAATGGAAGCTGCTTCTTTAGAATCTTTCTTTTCTTTTTCTTTCCTTTTTCTATATTTCTTTTCCACTTTCTGGTTACTTTTCTTTATTCTTCTTTAATTCAACAGTTTTTCATTTTGTTGAAAAACTTCTTCCATAAAAGTTATTTTAAAAAAGGAAATGAGGGGAAAAGCAATATAGATAGATACAGCGATACGATATCATAGATTCAGTGATGTCACAAACAGAGCTCATGAAAATAATCCAGAGCTGAATTTTATTTATGTATTATTATTAATATTATTGTTGTGGTGGTTATTAATTTACTAGACATCCAACTCCAGTAGAGCTTGGGTGGCATACAAAACTAGGAAAAAATATTAAAACATCTAAAAACATAAAATCAGTCAGACAACAGGTTAGAACAGCAAGGCTCAATCTTGGCGACTTTAAAATAGGTGAACTGCAACTCCCAGAAGTCCCTAGCCAGCATGTAGCTGGAAGAATTCTGGGAGTTGAAGTCCACCCATCTTAATGTTGCTAAGGTTGAGAAACCCTGGGTTAGAAGATGAAAAGTTTTTACAGTTATGTCCTGCTGACGAAGGAACGACAACTCTAGATGATTTGGGATATTGGGGTAGAAAGAGAAAAGCTTTTCTCCCCTGAATTGGCACCCTCAACTCACCGCTTCTGTTCCACTTGGCCTCTGCTTCCTGCAGCTTTTCTGTTATCAGCAAGGTTGCTAAGCACACTTTAAGACGTTGCCAGGCAACCACACTCTCCAAGAGCCAATCAGAAAGCATTCCCTGCAATTGTTTACAAAGGAGGAGCAGGGGACCATGGCAACGATGAGATGGCAAAGAAATGGTTCAAATAGTGGAACCTGCTCTTAGGGCAAATTTCTTTTTAAGAAGGGTAATTTATTTCAAGTGGGAGGGTTGCAATAAGAAATAAGAGGCTTTTAAAAAAAGAAAATGCTACATGACTAAAGAATGCATTGCCATACAGAACTCTCAATTGATCCTGGTTTTTTTAAATGTATAACTTTTATGTTCACAGTTCTACCCTGAGCTATATTCTCTTCTATTGGCAGTTTTTCCATTCATATCACTTTGTCCTGTATTATCAATGAGCTGTGTGTGTATTTTGCATGTGTATTTTCCTTAAATTAATCTATGGCAGCTATAAAGAATATAAAGCTATCAATCAGTGGAGGAAATTCAGACAACTGTACACAGAAAATGAGAAAATAGCAATGAGTGCAGAAATCATTGGGTTAAGTCTATCTATTCTACAGTATATACGTTAATAGAAAAACTCTTGTTGTCATGATAAATGGTGCATCATAGGGGAGTAATTTGTGAACCTCAAATGGGCTAACTTACAACATGTATCCAGAATCTGGGATCTATGAATCCTGTGGAGTGGAAAATGGGCAAACTTTTTAAATTGGTTTATGATAATTTCATAAACATTATCATAAAGCAAGTAATCATAAAGCATAATACAAATGATATCATAAATGATTTCCTCTGGTCAACTTGGTCAACCCCTGATATTTGACTGCTTTATAAAGTTCGAATTTAAAGCAGATAGGGCTCTGAATCTTTCCCGGAATTTGAAGCTCTGTCCATTGTTGAAGGCATTGAGAAATCTGGTAAGCAAATGATGACCCATCCGAAATGATGACCCATCACTTGCCTTTCCCCCCCATTGAGTCTGCAATATTCTAATGAGGTCTTTGGTGCTTTCTGAACTTACCAGAATAACAGAGTCCAACTCGGCTCAGATAGGAAACCCTACACCAGTGGTGGCTAACCTTTTTGGGTTCCTGTGCCAAAAATGGTGTGTGTGCTGGCACTCGTGCGCTCGCGTGCCAGCACCCAGAAGGCAATGCGCGCCCCCTGTGCATGTGTGCACAATCCCCCATTCCCCGCCGCCGCCCCTTACCTGCACTGCCCTTCACAGCTGATTTTCAGCCAGTTTGAGGCCTTTTTCAGCCTCCTAGAGGCTTGAAAAAAGCCTCTGCAGGCCGAATAGGCCCGTTTTGTCACTTCCAGTATTACAGGAAGCGACGAAACGGCCCCATTTGGCCTGCAGAGGCTTTTTTTCAAGCCTCTGGGAGGCCGAAAAAGGCCTCAAACTGCCCAAAAATCAGCTGCGAGGCACACACATGCGCATGCCAGCACAAATGGCTCTGCGTGCTACCCGTGGCACACATGCCATAGGTTCACCATCACGGCCCTATGCCATTTCAGACAAATAAAATGAAAAAGATGAGGGAATAGAAGAGGAATACCTCAAATTTGCAGATGACACTAAGGTGACAGGAATAGCCAACACTCCAGAAGACAAGCTCGGGATCCAAAAAGATCTTGACAGACTTGAACAATGGGCCCAACAACATGAAATGTATCCAACAGCATGAAATGTAATGTGGAGAAAAGCAAGGGCTTCACACATAGGCAGGAAAAACCAAAGGTACAAGTACAGATTAGGTGAAACCTGGCTCAAAAACAGCAACTGTGGGAGGGACCTTGGAGTCCTAGTGGATGAGCACTTAAACATGAAGCTAGCAATGTGCAGCGGTAGCCAAAAAAGCTAATACAATCCTTGGTTGTATGAACAGATGCATAGAATCAAAATCACACAAAGTATTTATAAATCCTTAGTAAGACCACACCTGGAATCTTCCTTCCAGCTCTGGTCACCACATTACAAAGAAGATGTTGAGACTGGAAAAAGTGCAGAGAACAGCAACTAAGATATTTAAGGGCCTGGAGATGAAAACATATAAAGAATGGTTGCAGGAATTGGATATAGCCAGTCTAGACAAAGGAAGGACTAGGGATGACATGATAGCA